TGGTTGGCAGTTTTACCACCCTACCTCGCGCCGTGTTCTGTCCTCTCAGGACGTCACGTTTGACGAGTCGGTTCCTTACTACCGTCTCTTCCCCTACCGCACTGCCCCCCTCCCCCCCCCGCCGCTCTTCCTCGCGCCAGGTCCTCCCCCGATAGACCCCCTCCCCCCTCAGGTTCCTGCCCCCTCAGGTGTGTCCCAGGTAGACGCAGTCGAGCCTGTCGAGGTAGCTGTTGACTCTAGTGCTGCTGGGGGTGCTGAGCCTGAGCGTGCGGAGCCTGGGGGTGCTGAGCCTGAGCGTGCGGAGCCTGGGGGTGCTGAGTTTGGGGGTGCTGAGCTTGGGGGTGCTGAGTCTGGGGGTGCTGAGCCTGGGGTTGCTGAGTCTTGGGGTGCGGAGCCTGAGGGTGCTGAGCCAGCGCGTGTGGAGTCTGGAGGTGCTGCGCCTGGAGGTCCTTCGGGTGCTTCGTCCCGGCGAGAGCCACTCTCTCCACAGCAGCTGCGCGAGTGGTTTGCTCGCCGCTGGAGCCGTGCTGCTGGAGCTGGTGGTGCTACGGGCGCTGGAGGTCCTGCTGCTGCTGGAGCTGCTAGGGGTTCTGGAGCCGCTGGTCCCGGAGGTGCTCGTACTGGAGGTACTGGAGCTGCTGGGCCTGGTGGTGCTGCTGGGGCTGGAGCTGCTGGAGGTGCTGGAGCTGGCGGTACTACTGGACCCGGTGCTGCTGGAGACGCTGGCCCTGGCGCTGCTAGGGCTGCTGGGGCTTCTGGTGGTCCTGCTGGAGCTGGAGCTGCTGGAGGTGCTGGAGCTGGGGGTACTGGAGCTAGAGGTGCTACTGGAGCCAGTGCTCCTGGGGGTGCTGGAATTGGCGCTACTGGAGCTGCTGGAGGTGCTGCTGGAGCTGTTGGTGCTGCAGGAGTTGGAGCTGACGCTGGGGGTGCTGGTGCTGTCCCTGCTGGTTCTGGAGGCGCTGCGCGGCCGCGGCCGTACTTCGTTCCGCTCCTTGAGCAGGTTCTTGGTCTCCCGCCTTCTACTGGTCCTGCTCCTTCCGTAGAGTGTCCACAGCCCGTCCAGTCCGAATCACAGTTACAGCCGGCCTCCCCACTGCCTGCTCCTTCTCCTTACACTGGTCCGACAGGAGGTCTTACGGAGCGTCGTGAGCCTGAGTCTCGTCCTGTGTCGCCTGTTCGCGTTGTTCGCACTGGTCGTCGTGCTCCGCGTGAGCGTCCTCCTCCTGTCCCTGGCACGCACCAGATGGCTCTGCGTCCTTCCACTGCTCCTCAGCGTGTCCCTCTGCCGTCTCCTCCTGCGTCCTCTCTTCCTGCCCTTGCTGACCCGGTGTCTGACTCCCTTCGTGCTGCTAGTCCTACTATCACGCGTCTCCTGGCCACTGTTGTCACTGAACCTTCCTTTGAGTCCACTGCTGCGTCGGCCTTAGTTGCTGAGCTTGTCGACTTCGCTGCTCACTGTCGTCTACACTACGCCGCGAGTCTTGTTGCTGAGTCTGAGTCTGTCTGTCCTCCGTCCGTCGGGGGTGAGTGTGCTCTTGGCACGGACGTCCTTGAGGACAGGCAGGAGGACTTTGAGTGCTTTGCAGCCGCTGTACCTCATCTCGTGTCCATGCTGATTGCACCTGAGGGAGACCCGTATGCACCAGACATCCTGACCCCGCGCTCTTACGCAGAGGCGATAGAGGGTCCCTACTCCTCTCAGTGGCAGTCAGCCATGGACGCAGAGATGGCATCCTGGAGGTCCACATGCACCCATGTCGACGAGGTTCCCCCTCCTGGGGCGAACATCGTCAGTGGCATGTGGATTTTCAGGGTGAAGCGGCCGCCGGGTTCTCCGCCTGTCTTCAAGGCGCGTTACGTTGCTCGAGGCTCCAGTCAGCGACAGGGAGTGGACTTCTTCCAGACCTTCTCCCCGACCCCGAAGATGACCACTCTTTGGGTTCTGCTGCACGTCGCTGTCAGCGTGACTACGAGCTTCACTCTCTTGACTTCAGCACTGCTTTCCTACAGGGCAGCCTGCACAAGGAGATCTGGCTGCGCCGCCCACCTGGCTTCACTGGGTCGTTTCCTCCTGGTACCCAGTGGAGCCTCCGGCGGCCAGTCTACGGTCTCCGCCAGGCGCCCCGTGAGTGGCATGACAGACTGAGGACTACGCTTGCGGCTCTTGGGTTTGCTCCTTCTACTGCTGACCCGTCGCTGTTTCTGCGCACCGACACTTCGCTGTCGCCGTTCTACATCCTCGTGTACGTCGACGACTTGGTCTTTGCCACTGCTGACACTGAGGGACTCGCCCACGTGAAGTCGGAGCTGCAGAAGAGACACACGTGCACAGACCTGGGTGAGCTGCGCAGCTATCTTGGCTTGCACATCACCCGGGACAGAGCACGGTGCACCATTACCTTGACTCAGTCACACATGGTGCAGCAGGTCCTTCAGCGCTTTGACTTCACGTACTCCTCGCCTCAGGCTACTCCTCTGTCTACTCGCCACTCGCTCTCAGCTCTGCCTTCGGATGAGTCCGTAGAGCCGAGTGGCCCGTACCCAGAGCTTGTTGGCTGCCTCATGTACCTGATGACCTGCACTCGACCTGACTTGGCATACCCTCTTAGCATCTTGGAGCGCTATGTTGCTCCTGGGAGACACCGACCAGAGCACATGGCTGCAGCGAAGAGGGTGTTGCGCTACCTGTGCAGTACGTCGGGCATGGGGCTCGTGCTTGGAGGACGGGCTCGAGTTGTCCTCACTGGTCACGCAGACGCTTCTTGGGTCGACGACTTTGCTACGCAGCGGTCGTCACAGGGTTACACCTTCAGCCTTGGTTCCGGCTCTGTCTCGTGGCGGTCTACCCGCTCGTCCTCTGTTCTCAGCTCCATTTGTGAGGCTGAGATCTACGCTGGGGCCATGGCTGCACAGGAGTTACGCTGGCTCACCTACCTGCTGACCGACTTGGGAGAGGCGCCTCGTTCTCCTCCAGTTCTGTACGTCGACAACAAGGCCATGCTGGCCTTGTGTTAGCAGCCAGGTCAGCTTCGTCTTGCTTACGTGGCCTCTCGGGCCAACACTGCTGATATCTTCACCAAGGCACTTCAGCCTTGTGATCATCAGCATTTCTGTACTATGCTAGGTCTTGTACCTACCGGGCCTCACTTGCTTGCCTCTTGACTTTGCTTGTACTGTGATCTATATATACCTTTGCTAGGTTGTGATCACTGTCTTGCTTGTTCACTTTGATTTATAATCCTGCATGTGAACTGGCCTTGTGGCCTTTGAACTTGTGCTCGGAATGTGTGGTGACGTTGTGATCCACCCTGAGCTTACTTTGCTTTGCTTGACTAGTCTTGTGACCCCTTGTTCTCCCCCACTTTGCTTATGGGGGTGTGTCAGACATACATGATATAGCCTGTGTAGGCTGTAGTGGGGTAGCCAATAGGGGGTACAGCTTTTCTAGGGTTTCATACTTGTACCTTTCTCATTCCTAGTCAATTCATTCCTCGTTCTTATTCTCACACATGCAAACAGGCAAAATAGGTCCTAGAGTTACATCCCCACGAGTTGCGGAGAGCGTTGGCCTGTGCCCGCTGCTTCAACTTTTGAGGCGCCTCAAAAGGCGTCCCAGTGTTGGCGGCATTGATGGGCCAGCTGCATCGCTGCCTCGCTGCTTTGCTGCTTCGGCTGAGTTTGGTGCTGCATTGAAGCGGTGCTTATCCGAGAAGTTCCACGTGTTTTTTAAGAGAGACGATCCCCCCCTGGAGTGATGGCCATGGGTTGATTGTCATCCAGGGGGTAAGAAGCCTCTACTGTACAATCTGGTTGGTTGTTGCGTGGAATGCATTTACTTGGCTTCCGTGCAGGGCCACTGCATTCCATTGCCTTCCACTGCATTCCACTGCCTTCCACTGCATTCCACCGCATTCCTCTGCATTCCCATGCGTGCGATGCAATCCTATGCGATCCACCGTTCTCCGGGTGTGCTTCACAGCGCCTGTCCCCGGCCCGTTTGTGCTCTCGCTTCATCTGCTCGCCACCAACGCGTGTCAGCTGCGCACTGCTCTCAGCAAATTTTACAACAAAGGCTTCCAAAAGTAGGTCCTTCAGTGGGCGGCGATGCACAGGCAGCGGCACTGAACCCGAAACCCAAAACTCCAAATAGTAAACCATGATCGTACCCCGTGTGTGTGTGTATGTGTGTGTGTGTGTGTGTGTGTGTGTGTGTGTGTGTGTGCTTGCATGCATGCATGTCTGCATGTGAGCATGTGTGCATGCATGCACGCATGTCTGCGTGTGAGCATGTGTGTGTGCTTGCATGCATGTCTGCATGTGAGCATGTGTGCATGCAGGCATGAATGACTGCGTGTGAACATGTGTGTGCATGCATGCATGCATGTCTGCCTGTGAGCATGTGTGCATGCATGCACGCATGTCTGCGTGTGAGCATGTGTGTGTGCTTGCATGCATGTCTGCATGTGAGCATGTGTGTATGCAGGCATGCATGACTGCGTGTGAGCATGTGTGTGCATGCATGCATGCATGCATGTCTGCCTGCCTGTAAGCATGTGTGCATGCATGCACGCATGTCTGCGTGTGAGCATGTGTGCATGCATGCATGCATGCATGCATGTGCACGCACACCACTACCATACCTTCCGCTAACTCCCATAATCCTCCCATAAGACCTCTAACTTACAAATCCTCCCATCCTCTAACCCAAAGCTCCCGGGAATTAGCCAGCAATCTCTTATAAATCTCCCATCAATTAACCATCAATCCCCTCACACACCCCTCACAACAACCAACCAACACATTGCCTACCCTCATGTTTCCCCACCCGCGCATGACCCGGCGACACATCACTGCTCACACGTGAAGCTACCGTCTCGTGGCTCTTCGCAAGCTGCAGGTCTCCAGCCCCCCGCAGTACTTCCCAGACGCGCTTAGGTAAGTGTGATGCTCATCTCATCTCTTGATTAAACGGCAAGAAGCTGGAGTATGAAACGAACTCTTCAGAGTAGAGTAGATTGGGGAGGAGAATGAAGAGTGAGTGGTTGTAGACAGGCAGGCCGAATGTTGTAGACATGCAGGCAGAATGCTATAGACAAACAAACGCCAAACCAAAACCAAATCAATACCAACATCAGTCAGTTGAGTCGAGGCAACCCTCCCTTCCTTCCACCAACCATCTCCGAGGTGCGCAGAGAGAGCCTCCCCTGGTGCACGCCTGCCCTGCTGCTCTCCTCCGGTAACGAGGGCTACTGGGTGGACCAGCAGTGGCGCCCCCACGCGTGCCGCCTCAAGACCGTACAACCAGCCGATGCCCTCCAGTTCTTCCACCGCAAGCAACGCATTTTGTTCATGGGTGGGTAGGGCGTGTTGCGCATGGGTGGGTAGGGCGTGTTGCGCATGGGTGGGTAGGGCGTGCTGCGCATGGGTGGGTAAGGCGTGCTGCGCATGGGTGGGTAGGGCGTGCTGTGCATGGGTGGGTAGGGCGTGCTGCGCATGGGTGGGTAGGGTGTGCTGCGCATGGGTGGGTAGGGCGTGCTGCTCATGGGTGGGTAGGCCGTGCTGCTCATGGGTGGGTAGGCCGTGCTGCTCATGGGTGGGTAGGGCGCTTCTCATGGGTACGTGGGTGCTGTTGATGGGTAGGGGGTGCTCGTGGGTATGCCATGTGCTGCTGGTGGGTTTGCCATGTGCTGCTGGTGGGTATGCCATGTGCTGCTGGTGGGTATGCCATGTGGTGCTGGTGGGCATGCCATGTGGTTCTGGTGGGTATGCCATGTGGTGCCTATGCTCTGCTTGAACCCCTCCTTTGTCACACCAACACGCCCACCTGTCACCTGTGCATGTGTGTACGGCAGGCGACTCAGAGATCCGCTTTTTCTTCGGCTTCCTCCAGGTCTTCCTCCCTGCACACTCACGTGCAGCCTTTGTTGACTCCGAGAAGGTCGACATGCAGGCAAGCAAGTAGCCACTCGACACCATGCATGCTGTGTACTGTCATATACTGTCGTGTAATGACTTGTACTGTCTTGTACTGTCTTGTATTAGATTATACTGTCTTATACGGCCTGCCTTGTAATGTCTTGTAGTATCTTACACTGTCTTGTACTGTCTTCTACTGTCTTACACTGTCTTGTACTGTCTTGTACTATCTTGTACTAAGATATACTGTCTTATACTGTCTTGTACTGTCTTGTACTGTCTTGTACTGTCTTGTACTGTCTTGTACTGTCTTGTACTGTCTCATACAGTCTCATACTGTCTCATACTGTCTCATACTGTCTCATAATGTCTTATACTATCTAGTACTGTCCGTTTGGTCCCCTGTCTCTGTTCATGCGCGCCTCTGTGTGCCCAGCCCAACCCATTTCACTCTTCAAACCAACCTATGTTGCATCTGTCTGCCTATCTGCCCGTGGTGCGGCGGTATCTACCCCAAAAAGGGCCAAGCCCCTTCAATGACAGCGTGGGGACTGGATTCGACCAGCTCTTGCAGAGGCATGTGCGCGGACCCTATATAGCGGACCTAGACGCCATATTCTATGGCTCGCTCTACAACGGCTTTATACACATGAGGTGAGCCACTGACCCCATATGCCTGTTCTGATGCCTGTGCAAATGCCTGTGCACGGACCCCATATGCCTGTTCTGATGCCTGTGCAAATGCCTGTGCACGGACCCCATATGCCACTCCTCAAAAAGGGCCAAGCCCCTTCAATGACAGCGTGGGGACTGGATTCGACCAGCTCTTGCAGAGGCATGTGCGCGGACCCTATATAGCGGACCCAGACGCCATATTCTATGGCTCGCTCTACAACGGCTTTATACACACGAGGTGAGCCACTGACCCCATATGCCTGTTCTGATGCCTGTGCAAATGCCTGAGCACGGACCCCATATGCCTGTTCTGATGCCTGTGCAAATGCCTGTGCACGGACCCCATATAGCGGACACCTTATACTACATCTCGCTCTGCAAAGGCTTCGTGCACACAAGGTGAGAGCCTGGGGTGCTAGACACTCCACCCAACGTGAAACAAATGCCTTCTGGTCAACGGCTTGCGATCGGAAGGAGAAAGAGAGAAAAAAATATTCTCCTTGGAGTCAAGTTTTGAGGCGTCTCAGATGTGATCCCTCGAGCGGTGTCCCCTTGAGATTGTTGAATAGATGCATGCCTCCTGCATCATGCCTCCTACATCATGCCTCCTGCACCATGCCTCCTGCACCATGCCTCCTGCACCATGCCTCCTGCACCATGCCTCCTGCACCATGCCTCCTGCACCATTCCTCCTGCACCATTCCTCCTGCACCATTCATCCTGCACCATTCCTCCTGCACCATTCATCTTGCACCATTCCTCCTGCAGCATGCCTCCCACACCATTCCTCCTGCACCATTCCTCCTGCACCATTCCTCCTGCACCATGCCTCCTGCACCATTCCTCCTGCACCATGCCTCCTGCACCATTCCTCCTGCACCATGCCTCCTGCACCATTCCTCCTGCACCATGCCTCCTGCACCATTCCTCCTGCACCATGCCTCCTGCGCCATGCCAACAGCCCCGCTCTCTTCTTCTCCTGTCACATTCTGGGTCTTTGGTTTCACTCTCAATGAGAGCTGCACCTTCCATTTCCCCTCCCAGGTTCCACGTCACCAGAAATGGCCGGGACTTTGTGTTCAATCTGACGTACGTGGCGCACATGGGGTTGATGCACGAGGTGCTGCCAGCTTGGATGTTCAACACTAGTCTCCTCGGAGCCGCGGTGCTGAGCCGCCCTGACACGCCCTTCCAGCTCGTCGCCTACAGCTCCTTCCTGCATGATCTCATCTCAATGAACTCACCGCACGACTACAGAAGTGTGGCATGTGCGTGCATGAAGCCAAAACACATATGCGTGGAGGCAGTGCCGGCTGTGTTTTTTCTCTTGCTGGACGCATGCTTCTGCTCTAGCGACACGCATGCGTCCAGAGCACCTCCATTGTTTTTCCAGTTTCTTTCATGTTATAATGCTATTGCACTCCTCGTTCTACAGTCGTACGCCCTCTCTTGTTCTCGCACCTGACTTCTGTCTCATGTGCCCATGCATGCTGGCTGGCAAATGTTTCTCTCCTTGCCGTCTCATGTGCTCTCTGCTCCCCATGCCTCTCCCAGGCTCGCACCTGCTGCCCAGCATGTGCCAGCACGTGCAGGACGCGCGGCGGGTGACCTTCTTTGGCCCGTGGGCGGTCGGAGAGGACCGCAAGCCATGCTTCATGCTATTCAAGAGCGACAATGTGCGTGGCATGGCCTTTGAGAAGGAAGCTTCCAGGTGGGTGGCGCTTCAGAAGGAATATTCCAGGTGGGTGGCGCTTCAGGAGGAAGATTCCTGGTGGGTGGTGCTTTAGCATCATGTCGCTCACCTCATGTCACACTCAAATTGCTCGGAACTGAACCGCGTTGAACCACAATCTCCACACTAGTGCACACAATTCCAACAAAAAATGACCAAAAATGATTTAGGGCAGAGCAAAGATTGACCAGGTGGTGGCGATGCCAGCTTCTTGCATCAATAACATCAATAATAAACGTCCTTATGATTTCATTGATTATGTGAGGTGGTACACAAAAGCAAGTCATTACATTAGACTGAATGCCCTTCGATTAATCTCCCTGCTTCCTGCTGTGATTTGCCACCCTATTATTGGTGTTGTACTATGTATTTCAGGCTGCTGCCACTCCATGGATTTAAGAGATTTGTGCCAATGACCCCTGTCACGCTTCCTCGTCCTGACTTGATAGCTGACAGCACGCATTACTCGTGGGTGGTTAAACTCGCCATGCTGGATATCTGGTTCACCACCGCTTGCTTAGAAACCTGATAGTTTTTGTTGAAGCCCCTGTACCAATAACTCCCAAGTATACACACTCATGTAGTGTCCTGTAACGCTCTAGAGATAGGGGTATGGATGCGCAGGAATATTGTTGACTGTTATTTGGGACCTAGAAGCTCTAAGCACACCTTTAATCAACGCTAGATAGTCCTCACGGGGTCACCTCCAAGGGTCCTTGGGTGCCTGGTAGAACCAGCCCCTATCCAAGGGTCCGTGTTTGTTGAAGGACTTTTCAAGCGTGAAAACAATCGTGTGCACTGGAGCACTCCCAGGCACAATTGCGGAAGCAATTACGACTGATTGGCTCGTATGCAGAAATTTCTCCTCGCGTCAATACGTCGATAGAGAAAATATTCACTCCAAAAAGTTGATTACAAAGAAACACAAGCACGCATTTATAGAAGGCACTAAGCATGAACTTAAGCAAACACAAGGCGAGCATTAAACAGTTATAAAACTGGAATGAAGGACTTCGCCATGTTGTCTTGGAAAAGCGGTTGTCAAACTTCAGCTGCATTTGGCTTGATCCGCTTCATTAGAATAACTGACTTCGAGTTGTACTTGATCCAAACGCCCCTGCTGACTCCCCTCGCGAGCACTCATGAATTCTCGTTAACATTCATGAAGACTCGTGTGGGAAAACCGTTTTCCCGTTGCAAAACGGAATTTACCGTTTTGTACCTTGTCGAAATGATCACGCAATGTGGCGTGACTTTCTGGCGAAACCTCATGTTTGCCAAGTCAACACGGGATACAGTTTTTCAACTGTAAATCCCGAGCTCCCCACGTGCCAGCCAGCATGACCGAGATATTTCTCGGTCATGCAGGACAGGACGATCGCGTACGCGATCGTGCGCTGTCCTGGCGCGAGACAGGGCAGTAATGTGCCCTGTCCCGTTGCGATAGTGGGCCCTGCCACGCTTGCAATTGTGCCGAAGCACACGCGCGAGCCCTGAGGGGCCACACGCGTGTGTCAGGACCCCACGCGCGGGTCCTGACCTTCGCGCGCGGTTGACCTTGAACAGCGCGACTAAGTCAAACTCGCAAAACACTCGCCACACTCGAAAAACTCACGAAAATATGAACTCTCATGAACTCTAATGAAAACTCACAAAAACTCATGAGAAATCATGATCGCACACGCAGACTCATGAACAATCGCGAACTCACGCGAACTTCCCGAAACTCATGAACTTTCATGCGCTCTCATGGAAACTCATGAACATTCATGAAATGCATCCACACACAAAAATGCATGTAACTTATGAACTGCTAAGGCGATTCACAAACCGTAAACGCACAAATGTAAAGCACACAAATGTGCTCCTCACACTCCACAAATTACCTTAAAACAAAAACTCTCATTTTCCTTTATCGTCGGCGAATAGGCGGTAGGTTGACGTGCAAACCACATTTTGCACTCAACAAATATCTCACAAAACAATTAGAAGTTAGTGTCGAGTTGAAGACAATGGTGTCTTTACTTATGGTTGAATTTTATAAATGAGTGTCTTAGTTATACGGGACCTATGGATGTGTACCAGGCCTCATGATAATGGGGTAATTTACCCTTGCAGCACTTATTATAAGGCTGGGTTTGCCTATGCACCTGTTTTTTTCAGAGTGATTATTTCTTAGACCCTAACGAGAAAAAGAGTTGAGACATTGATATTACAAAGTGTAACAGAACTGTAAATACATTGATGGTATCAAACTAGTCATTAGGGAGTTCGTAAGGATCCTTCGCAATAAGAGTAATGAGCAATGGTGCGTAGAGAATACGGTACCTCGGGTATCATACTCACACGATTCACATGAATCATCAATATACAACTGCACACCACAACTTGCTATTCTGAATTTGTAAAACTTTATACGAAATAAATGAATAGTTCCACCAGGCCTTCAGATTCGTTTTGGGGCACCCTGATGCCTCAGGTCAAGTTTCCTGTTTTCGTAGGGAAAAACCCTGTTTTTTCGGTAAGGTTCCTGATTTTTCAGGGCTAAGTTTTTTGGTGGTTCTTGATGTATTCAGGGTACTTCTAGATTTACGTGTTAAGTGCTTCTATAGAGTACGGTGTTGGCTGCAAACAGCGGCAGCATTGTTGCCGCAAACACCCATTTACGGTACCGTGCTTGCGACAGCCAAATCGAGTCCGAACAACGTTCCTTCACCACCCCCACACCCCATACTATTGTATCCTCGCCATGGCAACCCCAGCAGAGTTCATAACACCTCAGGGCAACGATTTGTTACCATTCTGAAATTTCAGGGCCCTCATGGTGCACTATCCCGAATTTACAGGGTGACATTTAACGAAATCCTGAAATTTCAGAGCACAGCACCTAGCGACACCCTGAAAATCAGGGTATTTTACCTTGATATTGTAGGGCCTGGGTTCCACCATGGTAAAAAAAAATTGAATATCCTTAGATTCCCTTATGAATAAGTGAAACTAGGATGTTGGCTTTATGGAAAATAGCAGCTCAAATCCTATCCAAGGGCCTCGTGTGTACGACTTAAGACATATACGCCTTGTAAACGGTCAACGTGATAAGAGTTTCCTGCTAAACAGGGGAGGCTCTTATAAACGTTTTTTTTTTTTTTTTACACCCTCATTTTCTTCATCTGCACTACCAGTAGAGGGCAGGCTGAGAGGGCAGGCAGGTAAATGATACCTGCCAATTCTACCTAGTACCCCTTAAATACATGCACAGTAGAGGGCTCCTGCATTTTAAAATTGATGGCGTTCCATGCATGCTTGACCATCCTAGATGGCTCCACCAAGCGTTCGGTCTCGGCCGAAGCTCCATGATAACTGGGTGTCTCTAGGTAGAACACCTTCAGCCTAGTTGCCACGCCGACTTCCATGACGCCATCGTCCTGCAACTCCTCCTCCTCCTCCTCCCTGTCCTCCCCTGGAGCTTGCCCAAGCAGGCGCATGTTGTCGCCCATACTCCTCCGCAAAGACATATTGTCGTGACACTGAGAAGAAACGAGAGTGGGATGAACTATGAATGAAGTGGGTACAAGTACTAACCCTAATTGGGTTGTACCCCTTATGGGATACCCCACTACAGCCTACACAAAAGTATAAGCTATAACGTTCTGACACACCCCCATAGGCAAAGTGGGGGAGAACAAGGGGTCACAAGACCAGTCAAGCAAAGCAAAGCAAGGCAAGCTCAGGGTGGATCACAACGTCACCACACATTCTGAGCACAAGTTCAAGGCCAGAAGGCCAGTTCACATGCAGGAGTACATATATATATAGATAAGGCTAGACAAGCAAGAGCAGGTATATATATATGTAACAGTACAAGCAAGGTCAAGGGGTGAGCAAGTGAGGCAAGACAGGGACAAGACCCAGCTGAGTGCAGAAGCGCTGATGATCACAAGGCGGAAGTGCCTTGGTGAAAACATCAGCAGTGTTGGCCTCAGAGGCCACGTACGCAAGCCGCAACTGACCACGCTGCTGTAGCTCACGAGCAAGGAAGTAGCGAAGAGCAATGTGCTTAGTTCTGTGCTCCAGTCTCTGCTCTCGACACAAGGCCAGCATGGCCTTGTTGTCTACGTACAGGACTGGAGGAGAACGAGGCGGCTCTCCAAGGTCGGTCAGCAGGTAGGTGAGCCAGCGAAGCTCCTGGGCAGCCATGGCCCCAGCGTAGATCTCAGCCTCACAACTGGAGCCGAGAACAGAAGACGAGCGAGTAGCCCGCCACGAAACAGAGCCGGAACCGAGGCTGAAAGTGTAACCCTGTGACGACCGCTGCGTAGCCTGGTCGTCAGCCCAAGAAGCGTCCGCGTGCCCAGTGAGGACCACTGGACTCCGCCCTCCAAGCACTAGCCCCATGCCCGACGTACTGCACAAGTAGCGCAACACCCTCTTCGCTGCAGCCATGTGCTCTGGTCGGTGTCTCCCAGGAGCAACATAGCGTGCAAGAATGCTAAGAGGGTATGCAAGGTCAGGTCGTGTGCATGTCATCAGGTACATGAGGCAGCCAACAAGCTCTGGATACGGGCCACTCGACTCTACGGACTCATCCGAAGGCAGAGCTGAGAGTGAGTGGCGAGTAGGCAGAGGAGTGGCCTGAGGCGAGGAGTACGTGAAGCCGAAGCGCTGAAGGACCTGCTGCACCATGTGTGACTGAGTCAGGGTAATGGTGCGGCATACTCTGTCCCGGGTGATCTGCAAGCCAAGGTAGCTGCGCAGTTCACCCAGGTCTGTGCACGTGTGTCTCTTCTGCAGCTCGGACTTCACGTGGGCGAGTCCAGTAGTGTCAGCTGTGGCAAAGACCAAGTCGTCGACGTACACGAGGATGTAGAACGGCGGCAGAGAGGTGTCGGTGCGCAGAAACAGCGACGGGTCGGCAGTAGAAGGAGCAAACCCAAGAGCCGCAAGCGTAGTCCTCAGTGTGTCGTGCCACGTGGCGCCTGGCGGAGACCGTAGACTGGACGCCGGAGACTCCACTGGGTACCAGGAGGGAAAGACCCAGTGAAGCCAGGTGGGCGG